CGATACTTTTTACTTAAGCGTTTTGATGGACCGGGATAACCTGGTCGGTAAGACGCTGGGCCCATGTCCGAGGGTTCGTGGGTTCGAACCCCGCCGGCCGAAGACTCCCCGCGAAGTAAATGGTGATTGATGCACGCTAAATCTGTCGAGTTTCAAAGTCCTCCTTGTTCCTATAACAAATTAATGGAGATTGATCGTTCTCTGATTCAGGTCAAAATTACGATCTGTGGGTGAATGAATGGATGTAGGAATGGGTTCACCCTATAAACGGATGTGACGTATGAGTGTGGCAGAAGTCGAATTCTGGGCCATAGATGGCGCCACTGGAAAACAAGAGCAATCGCACTCTTTCTGCCTTAATGGCATACGTCAACAACAAGGTTTTATTTTACCGGAAATGTCACTACAACATATTGCTGTAATTTTACCAGAATTTTTCCTGTGAGTAGAACCTATTCATTGGTTTGCATGGCAACATATTCAGTTAGATATTGCAAATTCAAGGAAAAACATATAAGGAACTTCAGATTGTTAACTAACATATAAGTTTTGAAAAAATTGCACTAATAGAGTGTTATTAAACCATTTTTAATGGGAATTAAATTTCCACAAACAGTTAAAAAAATATTTTTTTTCTTCGGCTTCAATAACATAATTTTCAAGAAGTTTAGGAAAAATTCCTCACTAAAACTCAGTTGTGTTAATAATAACAATGATAACATTAAATTAACTATTAACATTAAATACCATTTATTAAAAATTATCTCGATAAACGCGAGATCTAGTTAAATCAGAGCTTGTAATTAACGAGTTAAACTTTATTTTTAAATTCAGTTTTTAAGTTTTATGGATGAAATATATTCATGAATATTTACGAGAAAATATGAAAACTAATTCAATGAGAAGCAGGAAACATGTATCATATGTTTTTACGCCAATATTTACTATTCCCTCTTCATATGAATTATTTATATTTCGACTTTTCCTGCTGCTGACATAATCGACAAAAAACTCGATACAACAGGTGTATGCAATCCATTAGAATAATTTGAAATCAACTCTCAAAGGTTCTATTATTCCATTATTATTTACGTGAATAACCTCTTTTATTCAATGACACATTATCAATATCCATTAAATTTGATTGTTAATCGGTAAATGCTAATATTACTGTAATATACCATTAATTTAAAATCATTTTAAATGAATGTGGAAGTAAATTTCACAATTTTTCATTATTATAATTAATAAAAAAATAAGAACCACAAAGTAATAAAAATGCAAAAAGGATAATTCCCTGATTTAACAGGAAAAAAAAAACTTTTGTCCTTAAGATTATTTCCTTAATATTTCCAGCAGAAAGATATACACGGTGAAAAAAATTCTGGTAAAATTACCGCAATGTATTACCATACATTAAGTTTCTGTTCAAAAAACCATAATTCAGATTATTAAAATCAAAATATACGGTATTTAAAACATACATTTAATATCGGTTTACCAGAAGTTCTGGTTTCAAAATTACGGTTTTATTACATCACATTTAATAAAAAAAATACAAAACTTAAAAGCCAATTAAACCGAATAGAGGGTTTTTAATGCCAGGCTCTAAAGTATGATGATAAATTTACCGAATTTTATGACAATTACTGACTTTTATTACATATTATATTTTATTGTTAACTTTACTAAAATCATAACCAAAGCACTGTAGTAGAAATTACCGAGGTTTTAGGTATTTCCATAATGCCAAAAACACGGTAAATTTTACCATATTTTTAATTTTGACCATACTTTTTTTTTCTCAGTGTAGTATATATCTTTTTAATCATGAAGTTTCTTTAATTTTTTTATCCTAATAATTATTAAAATTTCAATAATAATATTTTTATATAATTGATTTTTATTTATGTTAATTGGAAGCAAATATTAATGAAAATAATATAATACTTCCAGGAAGGATCCGAATAACATTCGCCTCACGTTACGTCCTCTCCCTTTTGTTTGATAAGTTAAACTCAAAATAAGTGTTCATCATCTTTTTTCAACTTAGTGCACACACACCCTAACTTTCAAAATATCTAATTATAATAAACATTCATTCAAAAAAATTGCAAATATCAATTATTTAAAAATATATACATCTAATGAACATATAAATATTAATAAAATATCTGTAATACTATTTTTTATTCTAAATACATATATCAAAATGAAAAAAATAATTTGCCTTAAAAATTGTTTAATGATAAAAAAAATTATATTTGTTCACCGAAAATAAAAATCAGAGCTTTGTGACATATACTGTAAAAGATTAAAGTACCTTAATCCAACATTTTTTTAATCATATGATCTAAAATAAATACTATGTATAGCGTAATATCGAAAATATATACTATGTATAGCGTAATATCGAAAATATCGGATATATCAAGAATATCAACAGTTAACAGTCCAAAGAAAGACATTAGATACTGGAGATGAAAATATTCAAAAATAAAATCGTTGACTAAAAAAAATCATGTTGCTTCCTTCACTTTACATAATATTACGCTTAATACAATAATTTTACAAGTCTTTATCATGGAAAATTATGTGCTTTAAATACCTTTCAATGGCTTTTCCGATGCAAAACTGATGGAAGATGTGTTTGTTGGAACAGACATCCAAGAACTGACGAAAGTTTGGACCAGAATAGAAACAAACACAAGAACAGCATGATAATTTTCTCAATTAGTTATAACAAACTTCCTTAGAAACAAAAAAGTCCCTAACTGTAATTCTGATAATAAAAAGTTTCAAGATTTTAAGTTGGAAAGTTAAGTTAGGAAAGACATTTGATATTGTTGACAAATATTTTTGAGAAAAGAATCTAGTTGGTTAAAAAAAACTTCACCCAAAATTAGGTTTAAAGTTTTAATTTGACAAGTCTTTAACATGGTTAATGCTTCAAATACTTTCAAATGATTGATCCGAAGCGAAACTGATAGAAAATGTGTTTATTCAAACAGATATCTAAAAATTGGTGAAGGATGAAAGTTTGGAAATAAAATAGAACAAACAAAACAGCAGAAGAAAGGCATAGTAACTTTCCTAACTAGTTACAACTAACTTTCTTAGAAGCAAAAAAGTCACAAACTGCATATCTGATGTAGAAAATATAATAAAATATTTCAAGATTTTAAGTTGGAACACATCAGATACTGGAGACAAAAATATTCAAAAAGAAAATCTAGTTGATTAAATTAAACATTTTGCTTACCCCTCTTCACATAAAATTAGGTTTAATGTAATAATTTGTCAAGTTTATACCATAGAACAGTGTATGAGTTAAAAGCATTTCAATGGTTTATCAGAAGCAAAACTGGTGAAGCAGATATCTAAAAACTGATGAAAGATGAAAATTTAGAACCAAAAATAGAAACAAACAAAAGTAAAGCATGGTAATTTTCTTAACTACTTGTAACTGAATTTTTTAAAAACAAAAAAGGCCTAAACCGCAATTCTGTTGCAGAAAAAAATAATAATATATTTCAAGGTTTTAAATTGTATTATGGACTTAAAAGTTCGTTTTCCCAATTCCCACCAGGATTATTTTCCTGAAAATTTAAGCGCAGTTAATAAAGAACATGGTGAAACATTTCATCAAGGTAAAAAAAAAATGGAAAGGCGATAGCAATCGAAATGAAATGTCAGCACGATATTGCTGGATGCTCAAATTTAAATCTACTTTCAAAAAGTATTTTTTGAAGATAGGCCATACTATTATTATTACATGATATTGGAGATATAAAATGTACCATACAATATCTAAGATTTTTGGCATATCAAAATATTTGACATCAAGAGGCTAATATTATTGATTAAATCATTTTTCTCATGGAATAAAAGTAATAATAGTACTTTTTTACTTGCAATTTTGTACTTATACTTAATTACTTGAATAAGGATATAAATATAATTTATGTAGAGTTATAAATTTATAAAATTTATAAGAAATAAAAAATTTTAAAATAAAAAAACTGATTCTTTCAAAATATACTATCATTTACTACAAATCATTACTCGATAGAAATAAACAGATTTAATTTGTGGAATCAGCAATAAAAAAAACGTACAAAAAGCAGTGCTCAAATTTCTTTTAAAGTTTTGTTTTCAAGTCGGTGATACTATTATTATTACATGATATCGGAAATATAAAATGCATCATGCAATATCTAACATTTTTGGCATATCAAAATATTTGACAGCAAGAGTTTAAAAAGAATTGATTTTTTTGTGGAATAAAAGTAATAATAATAATTTTTAAAAAAAATTCATGATGTATAACGTTTTGAAAATATTCTAAAATTTACTTCTAATATTTACTTTGAAACTACTCTAAAATTTGTTGTTGTTACTATTATTAATCATATCAAATTACTATATAATTATTATATTATCATATCAAATTATTTTATTATAATCATATTTAATTCACCACATAATACATAAGATTTTTGGCATATCAAAATATGAGGAAGGGAAGAACTGATTCAATCCAGTTTTCTTTCATAAAATATAAGTTAAATAAAAAAAAAATTATACCATTATTTCTGATTTAATGCTGACACTCTTCTAAATTTATTTCCTAAATACAATGTCTCAAATTATTTTATTTTAATCATAAAACTCTGAAAAATAAAATGTACCTCAATAATATCAAACATTTTCGGCAAATGGTCAAAATATTTTATTGTTAAAATTTTAAAGAAAGAAGAATTTTTTTCTCTGATAAAATATTAGAACAAGCTCTTTTTTCTCTTCTTCTAAATAAATTAATTAATAAAACGATTTTAAAATTCGCTACAAACTTTTTTTTTAAAAGTTCTAAAAACAAAAAAAAGTTTATGATATCCAATAAAATAAAATATGCCACATTAAATTAGTATAAATAAAAACAAACAAACAATATTTTTTCGTAAGCAATGAAATTTTGAAGAAAAAAATATAAGGCTTACTTATTTTTTCCACCTGTTCGCGCAGAGCTTGTTGTGAAAAATCTTCCGTTTTCCACACATTAGTAAGAGCGCGTTGGTTCTGGTTTCATTCTCAACCTGATATGTTCGGTCATTTTGACAAATGCCGTTAGACGGCAGCCAAATTCAACGCCAACGCGCCAAAAGAATGTTACCTTTATGGAAATTAAATTTATCGTGAATCTAGGCTATTGCTCCCTAATTTTACAAAGCAAATTCTTAATTTAGTTTTTAGAAGAACTGTAAATAAATTCGCTTTAAATAAGTAAAATAATATCTGTTGTTTAAAAATAATCTTATTCCGAAATTAGTTTTGATTTATCATGATGTTTCATAAAAAATTTAAATTTGAAAATAAGAAAACGATCTCGAAAATAAGTCATTTTTAAAATTATTTGTTTTAAAAATCGTTTTCTTTTCTCATTTTTAATGAAGTAAGGAATCTTAAAGCTTTTTATTGTGGAGGAAAACAATTTTTACAATCGGAGTTAAACATTAATTTTAAGAAATAACTTTAAAAAAGGTTGCTTTTTTTAATGCGAGAATAATAAGAGAAGTGCACTTTAAGACAAAAGCATACTGTGGCAACTTAACATTTTATGACTTGTACTTACTTATTTTTGTTCCATAAATCAAATGTTAAATTAAACAGAATAAAAATAATTAAAATTAAAAATAGTAATAGAGTTTCGAGAATAGGTCATCTTTAAAAATCGTTGTACTCTTACTTTCAATTTTACTATTTAATTAAAAAAAAGTCTATCAAAGCTTTTTATTTATTTCTTTTTTAAGAAAACAAGCTTAAAAAGTTTCTGATATTGAATTTTTTAACACTAAATTTTAAAGATACTAAACGTTAAATTTAAGATTTTCTTATGTAAGAAAAAAGCCTACTAAAGGACAGAACAATATTGTGGCAACTTCAACTAAATAGATTTTAATTAATTTATTTATTGTTAAAGAAATTAAATATGAAATTAAACTAAAAATAATTTAATTTAAAAAAGGAAAGAAATCTTGAGAATTGGCCATTTATAAAAGTATCTAGTGTAAAAGTTCTTTTTTAAGCTATTTTAAAATAAGAATAATCACTGAAATGGAAACTTTTAATAATAATTTTAGAAGAAGAACAATGTTAGTTTCAGATTAAGTAAATTGTTAATTTTATTTAATACAATTAAATAGACATAAATCTATTGATTTTTTTATTTTTTATCTATAGTAACATAAACATAAAAATAGGAAAAAATAATATGAAAATTATTATATAATAATAATTCAAATTTTTTAATAACGAAAGGAAATCCCATATTAGGGTAATTTATTAAAATGTTTTACTTAAATTAATAAATTACCCTAATTAATTACTTTACTACCTAATTTTAATTACTACCTAATTAAAATTTATTAAAATGTTTTTTCATTTCTGAAATAAAAAATTTTAAATACAGAAAACAATAATTTTAAATTTTTCTTTTACTCGAATACAAGAAACTACAAGTAACCTGCTACTTAAAACTAAATAGACTTTATTTGCTTTTTTAAATGCAAATCTAAGTAAAATAATATAAAAATAATCCAAATTAAAAATAAGAAATTTAACTAAAAAATGGACATTTAAAGACAGAAATTCATATGGAGGAAAAAAAATCTAATAAATTTACCTATAGTAAAGAAATTTCTGGTAAAAAAAAAATTCTGACAATAAAAGCAAAATAAATTTTTTAAATGGTAATTTTCCGTTCATATGATAACGGTTTACCGGATATTCTGATGTTAAAATTATAGTTCTTATTACCACACACTTAGTAACAAATACAATACTGAAAAGTAAATCCAACTGAATAAATGGTTTTTATGCCACGCTTTAAGGTAAATTGTTAAAACTACCAAATTTTACAACTTTTACCATATTTACCATGTTTTAATATTTATTATTAAACAATATTTCTTAGTTAATTTTACCAAAATCACTATCAAAGCGTTTCGCTAAAAATTGCCGTGCTTTTTGGTGCTCCCATAGAGCCTGAAACACGGTAAATTTTGCCATATTCTTGTAGTTTTAGCCATGCTTTTTTTCTCAGTGCAGTGTGAACAACTGAAAATTTAATGGGTTTTATTTATTTAGTTATTGTTACACTATTTAAGTATGAAATAGGAAAAAATTATACGAAAATAATTGTAAAACATAGTTAGATAAAAATATTTCAAATTAAAATTAAGAAAAAACTCGAATATTATAAAATAATTTTTTTTCCATTTTCAATTTTATTTTTTCATAAAATGGGGCACATTAAAGCCTTTTTTATATGGGCGAACTGATTTTAACATCAAAAATTTTTGAGACAGAAAATTATAACACTAATTTCAAAAAACAGAAAATGCCAATTTCAGTTTCTTTTTATAATCAAGCCCTAGGAAAATTCATTTCTAAGAAAGAGCAATACTGAGACATTTCAAATTTAATAGATTTTTATTTATATTTGTGTTGCATAATTCATTAATATCCATACGTATACGAGGGAGAATTTTTCTAAAATAATATGATAAAATTTAATGAAATATAAATATACAGCATATTTCAATGGATTGTATATTAATACAATAGGTATTCATAAACTTGGCATTTATGTTAAGTTTACGTTCAGAAATTTAAGTTCATTCATTTTCCTTCAGTTTAAATTAAACTAAGTATTAATTTAATTTTTTTTAATTGTATTTTTTTAAATTGATTTTAGTTTATCATAGGTTTTTTTCCCCTAATAAATGCTTTATAATTCAAAATTACAAAATTTGAATAAAACCAGGTCAGTCTGAGTTATCAAATTTTCAACAAAAAAAATTTAGAACTTGATTTCTCAAGAGCTATTCGCCCGACTTCGTTCAAATTTTGTCATTTAAAGTTTAAAATTATTTGCCCTTCGAAATAACATTCTTTAAAATGATGTAAACATATGTATACATTACTACATTACAATTCAAACATTTTGGCTGTTATTAAATAAAATACTAAATAAGTATTATAAGTTAATTTTGCGTGTTATCTATTATCTTCAGATAAACAAATTCTATAATTGTGTACAAATTTTTTCAATTCACTTAAAAAATTCCAAAGACATGATGAAATAAGCAAAAAGTAAAATTAGCATTAAGAAATCCGAACTTCCGACAACTTTCTTGACCAAACTATTAATTTTTAGTTTACGCCCCCCCCCCCATTCTGTGGGTCANTTAATTTTTAGTTTACGCCCCCCCCCCCCATTCTGTGGGTCAAGAATCTGAATCCGTCGAAAAAATGTTATGTTTATTCTCAGAAAGAACGCTTTTTGTCTGATTTTGTATCTTAAAACATCATCTGCACTAATCAATATGCATATTTAAGGTGAGGCTCGCAAAACGTTATGGTTAAGTTCAAGCACGTGAAAATTCTATCATTAGATTAAAAATTATTCAGGGTGTTACTTTTTTGTGCACTATATAAAAACATATATGGTTAACTTTTGGCCCACATTTCACTTAAAATTCTGTAAAATAAAGATTTTCCTTAGATTTTTAACTGTTCTAACAGAGAACCACAAAAGTACTTATTTCAGTGAATAATAAATACCTACTAATGAGTAGTACCTAAAGGATTATATATATATATATATATATATATATATTTATANATAAGTCTTCCGTAATATATATATATATATATATATATATATATATATAATCCTTTAGGTACTACTCATTAGTAGGTATTTATTATTCACTGAAATAAGTACTTTTGTGGTTCTCTGTTAGAACAGTTAAAAATCTAAGGAAAATCTTTATTTTACAGAATTTTAAGTGAAATGTGGGCCAAAAGTTAACCATATATGTTTTTATATAGTGCACAAAAAAGTAACACCCTGAATAATTTTTAATCTAATGATAGAATTTTCACGTGCTTGAACTTAACCATAACGTTTTGCGAGCCTCACCTTAAATATGCATATTGATTAGTGCAGATGATGTTTTAAGATATATATATATATATATATATATATATATAAAATTTAATTTAATAGTACCGGTACTTCATACCGTAAATTGATTCTGAATTTTTTACAACGTAAGTCAATAGACTTAATAATTTAGAAGTTATAGTGATTTTATGTGTAAAAAGATATAAATCAAAATATTATTTTCCATTTATAAAACAACCATAATGTCTAGATTATTATAGTTATATCGAGTTGATTTTGGTTAGATTCAACTTAGCGTAAAACTTTACATAGATTTCAATACATCGCTTGTTTATATTGCAAAGTCAAGGGTGTAAATAGATATAATAAACACAAAACTGCATTTTGGTACATAAAAACGCTTGTGACTTTTGAAGTGTTAGTCTTAAAGACATGAACGATTCAGCGTAAAAAAAAAATACATTAGAAGCAATATCTTATTTTTCAAGATATGAATAAGCTTTACTCCCTTCGACTAAGATCCTCAGTTAAACGATTATGCCAACAAAATCTTAATTTGAGTGAGGGGGCAATCATAAAATGTCCCTAGTAGGTCTAAATCAGTGGTCAGAAGTAGAACACTACAAATAGCGAAACTACTGAAGTCGCTACTTTTTTTCATAATTTTTATTCTATTTTACACTGAAGAGCCCAAAAAACTGGTACAGGCATGAGTATGCAAATAAAGGGACATGGAGCCCATGAAAGTACTGCGCTGCGATCGGCAACGGGTATATAAGACAACGAGTGTCTAGCACAGTTCTTAGATCGGTTACTGCTGCTACAATGCCAGGTTATACAGATTTAAATGAGTTTGAACGTGGTGTTATAGTCGGAGCACGGGAGATCTGACATAGCATCTCCGAGATAGCAATGAAATTTGAATTTTCAATTACGACCACTTCACGAGATTACCGTGAGTATCGGAAATCCACCAAAATCCCCAGACATGAATATTATTGAACATATTTGGGATGCCTTGCAGCGTAATGTTCAGAAGATATCCCCACCCCCTCTTACTCCCACTGGTTTATGGGCAGCCCTGCAGGATTCATGGTGTCAATTATCTCCAGCACTACTTCACACATTGA